CACCCGCAACATACGGAATAACCACTGGTTTGGGTCTGGGTTTGGGGTCTTCATTTTCACCTGAAGGTGAAAATCAATTTTTAAAAATAAAAAATCAAGCAAATCCAATGGCTGTTAGTTTCCATTTTATAACTGTGGGCCGTCCTGACGTCACCTTGCAGCTAGTTCTGGAAGGTATGAATGCACAGAAAGCGCCAAAACAAAGAGAAAACTACAAAATTGGAGGAAAGAGAGATTCACCATGCCCCATCTTCATTGAACGCACAGATTTGGACTCATTTTGTTTTTTACTGAATAAGTTTGAGTTTGACATGAGTTTCACTGTGTGCAAGGTTTGCAAAATGAAGATGAAGCACTTTGGGAACACAACAAATGGGCTCACATGATCAGATTTTAATTTAAAAAAAGATTTTGAATTGAATCACGGCCCCAAAAATCCAAATCGAATTGAATCATGAGAGTGTAAAAGATTCCCACCCCTATAGTTTAGCATGGTTGCCACACTGATATTAGGCCATTTCACGCTTTTAGATTTATATTTTGTTGATTTTCTTGCCTGTCTGTGTGTGTTAGCTCTGCAAAACCCTCAGCAACATCAGCTACACTGGAGCTGGACAAACTGATGGCTTCTCTGTCCGACTTCAGAGTCCAGACTACAGTAGGTTAAAGACTTTTATCCTCATAGAAGTAAATGTTTTCAGTCTAAACACCTCCAGTTTGTTCATTTTAAGATCTTTGCAGTTGTTTTTTTGTGCACTCAGAAGACACAAATGTCATAGATAAAAGTCTTCACTGTGTTCTGTCTTCTTCTAGCCAACTCCACCTGTCAACCCGGTGGTTACAGCACCACAGCAGCCCGCAATCCCCCCACAGCCCCCTGCCCCAACCCAGACCTCCTCCGGAGGCTCGTTGGACAGCATGCTGGGCCTCCTCCAATCAGACCTCAGCCGACAAGGAGTTCAAACGTCCTCCAAAGGAAACTGCTCAGCTTGTCAAAAGCCGGTTGTAGGACAGGTGAACATTAATCCAATCATCTACCGCAGATCACAGCTGTGATCCTTTTTTAATTTTTTTAAAGAGCTGGTTTCCTGTTTGTGCAGGTGGTGACGGCTCTGGGGAAGGTGTGGCACCCGGAGCACTTTGTGTGCACCGAGTGCGAGACGGAGTTAGGAAGTCGCAACTTCTTTGAGAAGGACGGCCGGCAGTACTGCGAGCCGGACTACTTCAGCCTCTTCTCCCCACACTGCGCCCACTGCAGTAAACCCATACTGAATGTGAGACGCTCAGGCGCCACCATTTCTGTTAGGGTGTTTTTGTCACGAGTGGCTAAAAATCGTCCTTTTTGCTTCCTTTGACGTTCAGAAAATGGTCACCGCTCTCGACAAGAACTGGCACCCAGAGTGTTTCTGCTGCGTCAACTGCAGCCGCACCTTTGGAGACGAAGGTAAGGAAGTCAAATCCTGCCAAAATTAGATGAAATCGGAATATCTTTGTAGTGTTTTGGGCATGAAAGTGGACAAAATTAGAGCTTCAAGGCAAAACTAAACAGCACCAGACTCACGTGGAGCACAGGAGAGGCTATTTTTATCTGTTGTTAAGCTGTTAATTTGAAGGGTTTTTTTTGGATAAACTTTTGAACTGCAGGAAAACCTCCTTTGGTGTGTTTTTGTTCCTCCTGCAGGTTTCCATGACCGGGAGGGCCAGCAGTACTGTCAGCAGTGCTTCCTGACTCTGTTTGCCTCCCGCTGTCAGGGCTGCAGCAAACCTATTCTGGAAAACTATATCTCAGCTCTGAGCTCCCTCTGGCACCCACAGTGTTTCGTATGCAGAGTGAGTTTGTTGTTTAGTCAAATCTAGAGAGGAGTTTATATATATATATA